GTCTGTGTTTACAATATGGCAACGAGCAATATGGCAACGACCAATATGGCAACGCCCAATATGGCAACAACCAATATGGCAACAACCAATATGGCAACGACCAATATGGCAACGACCAATATGGCAACGACCAATATGGCAACGACCAATATGGCAACGACCAATATGGCAACGACCAATATGGCAACGACCTGACAAACAAAACTGATTCCTTCATATAAATGTCCGAATATGAGGCAACACCGATCAGTAAAATCGGAACAAAGAGAACTGTGATTAATTGCAAATTAATTTTGATACACTCGAGAATTACTACGACAAACGCAATTGCAAAAGTTCACGAATATCGGAACAGGGGGAGAAGGGAGAGAAGAGCAGTAAAGTTGAGGAGAATGAAGTAGAGACAGAGACTCCTTCGTGCATCAGAAAAGGGAGAAAGATTTGGGAATCTCCCTCCCCAAAGCCAGAGGGAGGCTTCGAGTCGAAGCTGTCTGATGTCCATAGCCTTTTGAAATTTGGACAAAGGAGTCTTTGGGGTTCCATATATGACTCGCGAGACTCAAAATTCAATACCCTCCCCCCCCCCACCGACTCTTAAACACTCTTGAAACAAAACAACTAAATTCACGAATTTGCAACAAGGCTCTTCCATGAGCTGAGGACTGAGAGTTATGTGGCAAGACTGAGGGGTGAGAGTTATGTGGCAAGACTGAGGGGTGAGAGTTATGTGACAAGACTGAGGACTGAGAGTTATGTGACAAGACTGAGGGCTGAGAGTTATGTGACAAGACTGAGGACTGAGAGTTATGTGACAAGACTGAGGACTGAGAGTTATGTGACAAGACTGAGGACTGAGAGTTATGTGACAAGACTGAGGGGTGAGAGTTATGTGACAAGACTGAGGACTGAGAGTTATGTGACAAGACTGAGGGGTGAGAGTTATGTGACAAGACTGAGGGGTGAGAGTTATGTGACAAGACTGAGGACTGAGAGTTATGTGACAAGACTGAGGGCTGAGAGTTATGTAACAAGACTGAGGGGTGAGAGTTATGTGACAAGACTGAGGACTGAGAGTTATGTGACAAGACTGAGGACTGAGAGTTATGTGACAAGACTGAGGACTGAGAGTTATGTGACAAGACTGAGGGGTGAGAGTTATGTGACAAGACTGAGGACTGAGAGTTATGTGACAAGACTGAGGACTGAGAGTTATGTGACAAGACTGAGGACTGAGAGTTATGTGACAAGACTGAGGGGTGAGAGTTATGTGACAAGACTGAGGACTGAGAGTTATGTGACAAGACTGAGGACTGAGAGTTATGTGACAAGACTGAGAGGTGAGAGTTATGTGTGAGTGACGCTGCCCAATAAACTCGACCCTCGGGGCAAAATTTAAAAATTTTAAGCACTTCTTAAGTGTTAAGATGACAATATGTTGAACGTGTTAGTCGACGAGGCTGAATCTCATTCAACACGCGTTTTTAAATGTCAGAATGATAAGAAAGACGTGAACTGAGTCATTGCATTGAATTATGAAAAGTTCAGCCAGTGGGACCCTAGGAAGCTGGGAGCCTGCTAGCATGTCTAGGGAAGTGCATCTAGGAGACTACACAAACACACTCACAACACACTTGAATAACGTCGTAAAATGAGTGGTTCCGGGGGCTGTGAAGCAATAAAACCAGCTGGAAGGCGAGGAGATGGTAAAGGGGGGGGGAGGAGAATGATGTGGGGAAGGGGGAAGAGAAGGAAGGGGGGAGGGAAGGGGTAGAAGAAAGAGAGAGAGAGAGAAGAAAGCCGTCAAGAAGTAAAGTTTTGCGTGGATCCGTCCAAGGGTGCCGTGGGTTTGATGGATACCTGGCGCACAAACCCACGAAATATTTCGTTTTATTGGGCAATACATCAAGGTTTTCCTCTCGGATTTACGAGTGGCCAGTATAGCTGCCTTGGTCTTATTGTTGTGTGGGGCCGGCGCTACGCTTCCCCTGCTGCTGCTGTCCTCTACCCTCTTCCCTCCCCTCCCCCTGTCTTACCCTCTCTCCCTCCCTCCCTCCCTCCCTCACTCCTTTCCCTATCTTTCCCCTCACCTGATTTATCGCCATTCCGTTATCACGACTTATGAGGCGGTGGGCCCGCTTGACTCCAATTGTGCACATTGCCAGCCATCCCTTCTCTCCTGCAATCGTTCCTATCCCGTCATCCGTTCCTCTACTCACTCATTTGCTAGTTCCTTTCCCGTCATCCGTTCCTCTCACTCATCTATTAGTGCCCTTCTGCTCACCGGTGCTTCATTCATCAATTTCTGGTATATAACCTGCCCCACCTGTTCCTTGACTCCAGTGTAGCACGCCTCCTCTCAACCTTCAAGGTACACCTCGAGCAAGGTACACCTCGAGTAAGGCACACCTCGAGCAAGGTATACCTCGAGTAAGGCACACCTCGAGCAAGGTACACCTCGAGTAAGGCACACCTCGAGCAAGGTATACCTCGAGTAAGGCACACCTCGAGCAAGGTACACCTCGAGCAAGGTACACCTCGAGTAAGGTACACCTCGAGCAAGGTACACCTCGAGTAAGGCACACCTCGAGCAAGGTACACCTCGAGTAAGGTACACCTCGAGCAAGGTATACCTCGAGTAAGGCACACCTCGAGCAAGGTACACCTCGAGCAAGGTACACCTCGAGCAAGGTACACCTCGAGTAAGGCACACCTCGAGCAAGGTACACCTCGAGTAAGGCACACCTCGAGCAAGGTACACCTCGAGCAAGGTACACCTCGAGCAAGGTACACCTCGAGTAAGGTACACCTCGAGCAAGGTACACCTCGAGTAAGGTACACCTCGAGCAAGGTATACCTCGAGTAAGGCACACCTCGAGCAAGGTACACCTCGAGCAAGGTACACCTCGAGCAAGGTACACCTCGAGCAAGGTACACCTCGAGTAAGGTACACCTCGAGCAAGGTATACCTCGAGTAAGGCACACCTCGAGCAAGGTACACCTCGAGCAAGGTACACCTTGAGCAAGGTACACCTCGAGCAAGGTACACCTCGAGTAAGGTACACCTCGAGCAAGGTATACCTCGAGTAAGGCACACCTCGAGCAAGGTACACCTCGAGCAAGGTACACCTCGAGCAAGGTACACCTCGAGCAAGGTACACCTCGAGTAAGGTACACCTCGAGCAAGGTACACCTCGAGTAAGGTACACCTCGAGCAAGGTATACCTCGAGTAAGGCACACCTCGAGCAAGGTACACCTCGAGCAAGGTACACCTTGAGCAAGGTACACCTCGAGCAAGGTACACCTCGAGCAAGGTACACCTCGAGCAAGGTACACCTCGAGCAAGGTACACCTCGAGCAAGGTACACCTCGAGCAAGGTACACCTCGAGCAAGGTACACCTCGAGTAAGGTACACCTCGAGCAAGGTATACCTCGAGTAAGGCACACCTCGAGCAAGGTACACCTCGAGCAAGGTACACCTCGAGCAAGGTACACTTCGAGCAAGGTACACCTCGAGCAAGGTACACCTCGAGCAAGGTACACTTCGAGCAAGGTACACCTCGAGCAAGGTACACCTCGAGCAAGGTACACTTCGAGCAAGGTACACCTCGAGCAAGGTACACCTCGAGCAAGGTACACCTTGAGCAAGGTACACCTTGAGCAAGGTACACCTCGAGCAAGGTACACCTCGAGCAAGGTACACCTCGAGCAAGGTACACCTTGAGCAAGGTACACCTCGAGCAAGGTACACCTCGAGCAAGGTACACTTCGAGCAAGGTACAGGCCAATATTGGCCGTTGAGATGTGAGTCGCGTCCAGACCCTTTACTCCTTGATAATGCACTCGTGAGAGTGGGAAAGACTTGGTGTATTTCAATGGTTTACATAAACGCCATCAATACATAAGTATGTGGTTTTTATCCCATGCAAGACAAGGGGTTGATAGAGCTGTCTTTATTATTCTTTAAGAACAAATACTTCGTTTAGTCTCGGGTTGTTCTTTGGCAATTAATTGTTATACGACTTTAATAACTTCGTCGCTGGGGATAACTGAAGCAATCAGTGTCCTCTTCACCACCTACATAGTTATCTTTGTTCTGGTGTACGTAAAATGTCAAGTTTTCACTAGTGAATATCGAAATCAGTTAGTGAATATCACAAGCTCACCACCCATTGCTATGAACCAGATGTCATTATACCTAGTTACCCATATTTCTGTCCAGAGATGGTTTCCTTCCATTCTGTTCAGGTTTGGCTTACATATAACTCATGTCATTGGTTGTCCATGGCTTTATTCAGCTCACAGTAGCTCTTTGTATGTGGCTGAGTGTTGCTTCACTATTCGACATAGGCTCCTGCAGGCACAAGTAGCAAATCAACACATAGACAAAAGTAGAAGACAACCACAACCTAGAAACCCACACATAAACACAAGCTAGAACAGACGAACACACACACAACAGCTTAAATCACCAACAATAAATAATAAAAACAAATAATAATAATAATAATATTAACAATATACACAACAAAAGTTAGGTCTTAAGTGGTCTTCGTGAAGGAGGAGGAGAGGACTCGGACCAGGACCCGAGAGAGCACTATTAAACTAATGGAAAGACTGTGTTGGCTGAAGCCTGCAATGCAATGCCCCGCTGGAAAGGGAAAAAGAAAAGTAATTCTCACTAAGGGAAGGGGGGGGGGAATGGGGGGTATTAAGGGAGCATTTAGAGGTGTGAGAGGAGTTAATGGGTGAGTAAGGTTAGGAGGTAATGGTTATTTCGGCGCCATTGACCTCGCTGATACGGTGTCAGAGGAATGATTTTTGTCAAGTCGATATGTTACTGCTAAAATTTTTGATTGAAGTTTAAAAATTTCAGGATTCGGGAATGACGGAGCTGTCAGAAGCTCTAGGGGCTAGTAAGGGCGGAAGCTAAGGAATGGAATTATGAGAAAAATATATAAAAAACGTGTTATAAGTTGTCATTAGGAAATAGCAGTGAGGGGAAGGGAAGAGTAATTAGTGTGTCTGGGTGATGATTGGTAAATCAACGTGATACGGTAGGTTGATGATACGAGAGAGAGAGAGAGAGAGAGAGAGAGAGAGAGAGAGAGAGAGAGAGAGAGAGAGAGAGAGAGAGAGAGTGAGAGAGAGAGAGATAGAGTGAGAGTGAGAGAGAGAGAGAGAGAGAGAGAGAGAGAGAGAGAGAGAGAGAGAGAGAGAGA